ATAGACAACAGGCTAGCGAAGGCATATAGTGCTTTCGGAAAGCTTCACAAAAGAGTTTGGTGAAATAAACACTTGAAGAAAAGTACCAAGATCAGTGTTTACAGAGTCATAGTGCTGTCTACTTTCTTATATGGTTCCGAATCATGGGTCATCTACCGCCACCACCTGCGTCTTCTAGAACGCTTCCATCAACGCTGCCTCCATACAATCCTAAACATCCACTGGTCAGATTATGTGACCAATTCATTTGTTCTTGAACAAGCAGCAGTCACAAGTATTGAGGTCGTGTTACTGAGAACACAGTTGCGATGGGCAGGGCACATCTCCAGGATGAAGGACCACTGCCTCCCTAAGATCCTGCTTTATGGTGAACTTGCCACTGGCTGCCGCAGGAGAGGAGCCCCGAAGAAAAGATACAAGGACTCCCTGAAGCAACATCTCAGCCTCGGGCATATTGAGCACCATAACTGGTCTGCTCTGGCCTCCAATTGGGAGGCTTGGAGACACACCATCTATAACGCTGCTGATGCTTTTGAGAAAGCACGCAGGATCACCCTTGAGGAGAAAAGACAACGCAGAAAGAATTGAGCCTTGCAGAATATACCATCTAAGGAGTCTTTCTGCTCTGCCTTTTGCAACTGGACATGCCTTTCTCGTATTGGCCTTTTTAACCACCAACGCGCTTGCAATAAATGTGGGTAGGGCCCTTCCCAAATCTTCGTTCGCGAAGCCTAGCGATGATGATGATGATGAGTTTCCTAAAAAGAGCACGGAGAAAAAAACTCGAGGCCAATGTAGTGTATAAGATGATAAAGAGAGTAGATCCTTTAATCTCAGGCCTGAGACCCAGGGAATACACACGATGCGCGCACCCTCCGACAGTGGTTCTATGATTTTATAATAAGGTCCATCCAATCCCAGTTCTGTCCACCTCCAGTTCTTCCCTGTTCTGTTCCCGACACACCCCTTCAGGAATTGGGTTTGGGGTCTTTGGGACCCCTTCTTCCTCATCTTCATCTTCTTCACAGCACGCACAATCCTTGGAGTTCCTCCAAAGTTCTGGACTTGAAGGTCGCTGTGTCTGTGTGATATCTTCTGGTCCAGGCCTTAGGGTGTTTTCCTACAATTCTACCTTGAAAATAAGACTAAACAAGCTAACGGAATTTAGAGGGATTGATATGAAATGGGGTAACAGAGTTGGGTAAATGTAACTCTTATGCTAAGAGGTAAGGGATATAATACAGCTACATTAAAATCTACATTTACTACTTCTAAAATCTACAAAAGTTAAAAAAGTCAAAAAAACTCAGAGACATCAATATATGTACCAAAACAGAACAAGCAACAATACCGTAACCAAAACTTTCACTGAAACAGTTTTGTGCCTTTCAGCGCAGTTATAACCACACTCAGCAGGCAGCGCTGGTGCGCCTTGGGATGCAGGGGCTGCAGTGACTCACTCATGGTCACCAGGTGGTGCTGTTGGGCTCCAGCGAAATGCTGGAGATGCAGTGACTCCCTTTCAACCAGCAGGGGGGGCTGTTGTGCCTCAGGAGAAGCAAAGGCTACAGTTACTCACTGACGGCCAGCAGGGGATGGTGTCAGGCTCTTGTGGCTGCCGTATCTGTGGGGACTGGCATGCAGGAGGCAACTGCACCTCCTGAAGGGTGTGAGCTGCCACCAGCATGGGAAGAGAGAAGAGGGAAGCTATACCAAATGTGTTAAAAGCTATACTAAAATCTATATAATGTGTATTTTAAGGCATTAGCCCAATTTCTTGCTCATCGGGATGAGTTATTCTTGAGCCTGGAGGCTCCTTGAATATCAACCAGCTCTTTTGGATCCCTCTTCCTTGCAGGGCCTGTTCCCATGGGATTCTTCCAAGAAGGTCCCTGAAGAAGCTAAAGTTAGCTCTCCTGAAGTCCATGATTGCAATCTTACTTGCTGCTCTGTTTCTTCCTTGCCTAATACTGAACGCCACAATCTTGTGGTCACTACAGCCAAGGCTGCCCCCAACCTTCGCATCTCCAACAAGGTCCTCTCTGTACAAACAGGTCATGAGGTATGAGGTCAAGCAGCACACCATTTCTTGTGGGATCCTCCACTACTTGTGTCAGGAAGTTGTCATCAATGATTTCCAGGAACCTCCTGGACTGTTTGCGCTTTACTGTGTTGCTTCTCCAGCAGATGTCCGGGTAGAGTAATTCCCCCACAAGAACCAGGGCCTATGACCTTGAGACTGCTTCTAGTTGCCTGTAGAAGGCCTCATCCACTTCCTTCTCCCGCTCAAGCAGCCTGTAGCACACACCCACAAGGTCAGCCGTACTAATATGCCCTTTAATCCTAACCCATAAGCTCTCGACTCACTCATCATCCACCCCAAGACAGAGCACGATATATTCCAAGTGTTGCCTCACATAGAGGGCAACACCGTCACTGCACCTTTCTGGTCTCTCTCTCCAGCGTGTAGCCCCTGTTGTGGGTTTCTGTGGTTGGTTTTCTTTTTTGGTAGTGGGGGGAGGCTACATGGGGTGATTTCTGTTAGAAGTTGCTAGAAGTTTCCCCCCCCCGTGGAAACAATGATAGCTGACTACAGGAGGGACTTCCTGTTGTTGGCCAAGGGAGAGTCAATTGTTGCGTCTCTGTGATAACATATTTAAGAAAAAGTTTGTTGCGCAGAAGAAATTCAAGCCAGGGGGGTTGCTGATGGAAGCCTCCGGGCCTGGGGCCGGGCCGTGTGGCAGTTGGTCCAGGGCAGGCACGGCGCTGGAGCCGAGCCGGGCCGGGCTGGGGTGGCTCTGCCATGTTGCAGCTGAGCCCATGCGGGAACAAGTGGATTCATGAAGGAGGACTGTTACCCTCATGGGAGGCCCAGGATGGAGCAGGGTCCTTCAGAAGATCTGTCTTGCCTGTGTGACCTCTCCCAGCTCTTAGCAATTTTCGTGGGTGCCTAGAATCCAGCCGGGGTCAACCCATGACACCCTTCATGACAACATTCCAGTCATGTGAGCTATCCCACCATGTTTCCATAATTGCAATGAGATCAAAGCCCTGTGACTGCGCATGGATCTCTAGTTCCTCCTGTTTGTTCCCCATACTGTGTGCACTGGTGTACAGGCACTTTATAAAAGTATTTTGCAGAATCACAGAATTTTTAGGGTTGGAAGGGACCTCTGGAGATCATCTAGTCCCTTAAAATCAGAAAAATAATTCTCTGGACTATTTTTGAGTATTAAAAGGCAAAAAGCACTCCTTTATTGTGGTGCTGTATTAGGGAGGGTTCAAGACATACTGAAGCTTGAAAACCAAGACACCATTGGAGCTCAATAAAACAGATATTTATTACAAAAAGTGGTTGACATAAATGGGCACCAGGGAGAAGGAGAAAACCAAAGAGGAAAATACGACACCCTACTCACTTAGGTGTCATTTATGAGATGATCTTACCCACTCCAGAGACTATAAAACCCTCTGCAGCAACAGCGTTTTCCAGAGGGTTAGCAGGCTCCCATGATAGCAGGCATCCCCGCTAAAGGCAACTTGATCCTTTGTGTAGAGCAAGCCCCACCAACGGAAAAACCTGTCTGCTTTTATACAATCAATTGAGCACCTCTGCCCGGGGAGGTGTGGCCAGTACCGCCCCGCCAGAGGTTCCCAATCCCACCTTCTTGGTTATGTAAGTTCATCCCTTCAGCGCATGTGTGAGAACTTTGGAAATCCCCTAATGCACGCACAGTATGCTTTGGGGGTCTTTCCTAATTGAGTTGTGGGTCAAGCCTTCCTCCCCTCCTCTTCGATTTCTCCTTCAAATACCCTTGGCAATGAACCAATAGTAGAACACCAATTAAAATAGTTTATACAGAAGTTCTCCCTCCAAGGAAGAATTCACTGTTTTATCAGTGAACTTGGCAGGGAGAATATAAACTACTACAGGTGGCTGGGGCCAAACACAGACCAAAAAAAATCAACATTCCCGCTACAGGTGCCAAGAGTGCACAAAAATATTTTGCACACCCCCAATTGCATAGGCTTTTACAACTTTATACTATCATCTAATTACAATATTCAGATTCTAATTACAATATTTGGACATTACCTCATCTGTTACATCTACTTCCAAAATGGTCCCTCCTGTAGCACCGCCCTTGCCACACCCCTGCCACACCTCCTGAATTTGAGTCGGAGGTCCCAAAAATGCCACCTCTTCATCTTCTCTTTGTCTTCCTCATCTCCTCTGACTCAGTATCACACCTTCTGGAATGGTTTCAAGGGTCCTGAGCAGCTTTTACTTATATCAAGTGTTATGTCTCTTTCTCAGTACTTTTTTACAGATAGAAAACCCTTTACCTCATTAAAACCCCTTGTCTGTCAAAATTCTTAACAAAGAATGATAAACAGCATTTTTAGATATTTTGTACAAAGGTACTAGCAAGCTAAAGTTACTAACAAGCTATACTAAAACTTATATAATATAGATTTTAGGCTACACTAATCCAACGTCCCTGCCAAAGCAGGGTCACCTAGAGCAGGTTACACAGGAACATGTCCAGGTGGGTTTGGAATGTCTCCAGAGAGGAAGATTCCACAACCTCCCTGGGCAGCCTGTTCCAGTGCGCTGCCACCCTCAATGTAAAGAAGTTCTTCCTCATGTTGAGGTAGAACTTCTTGTGTTTTAGTTTATGGCCATTGTTCCTCGTCCTGCTGCTGGGCATCCCTCAAAAGAGTCTGGCACCATCCTCTCGGCACCCGCTTTCGAGATATTTATATGCATTGATGAGATCCCCTCTCAGTCTTCTCTAGACTAACCAGGCCCAGCTCCCACAGTCTCTCCTCATAAGAGAGATGTTCCAGAGCCCTAATCATCTTTGTGGACCTCCACTGGACCCTCTGTGGTAGCCCCTGGTCTTTCTTGTACTGAGGAGCTCAGAACTGGACTCCAGATGTGGCCTCACTAGGGTCAAGTAGAGGGGGAGGATCACCCCCCTTGACCTGCTGGCCACACTGTTTATGATGCACCCCAGGATACTATTGGCCCTCCTGGCCTCAAGGGCACACTGCCAGATTATAGTCAACTTGTTATCCTCCAAGACTCTTAGGCCCTTCTCTGCAGAGCTGCTCTCTAGTAGGTCAGCCCCCAACTTGTACTGGTACTTGGGGTTATTCCACCCCAGGTGCAGTACCCTATACTTGCCCTTGTTGAACCTCATTAGGTTTCTCTCCACCCAATTCTCCAGCCTATTGAGGTCCCGCTGAATGGCAGCACACAGCCTTAAGGTGTATGAGCCACTCCTCCCAGTTTTGTATCATCAGCAAACTGGCAGAGGGTACATTCTATCCCTTCATCCAGGTAGTTGATAAACAAGTTGAATAAGACTGGAGTCACTGACTACAGGCCTTCAACTGGATTCTACTCCACTGATCTTGACCCTATGAACTCTGCCATTCAACTAGTTCTTGATCCACCTCACTGTCCATTCATCTAACCCACATTTCCTGAGCTTACCTACGAGGATGTTATGGGAGACAGTGTCAAAAGCCTTGCCAAAGTCGAGGTAGACAACATTCACTGCTGTCCCCTCATCGACCCATCCTGCCATGTCATCGTAGAAGGCAATCAGATTGGTCAAGCATGATTTCCCCTTGAGGTTGACTGGCCGGTACTTTCCCGAGTCCTCCTTCTTGCCCTTTTTGAAGATGGGAGTAACATTGGCCTTCCTCCAATCATCAGGCACCTCTCCCATTCTCCATCATTTTTTAAAGATCATGGAGAGGGGCAGAGCAACAACTGCCAGCTCCCTCAGCACCTGTGGGTGCATCCCATCAGGGCCCATGGATTTATGGGCATTTAGTTTGCCTAACTGACCTCTAACCCAACCCTCTATGACCGGGGGAAATCTTTTCTCTGGTCTTCTTCTCTTACCTTCAAGGTCTGGGACTCCTGGAAGCTGTCCTCAGCAGTAAGTACTGAGGCAAAGAAGGCGTTCAGTAATTCCACCTTTGCTTTGTCTTCCATTACCAGGACACGCATGTAATTCAGCAGTGGCCCCACATTTCCCCTAATCTTCCTCTTGCTGCTGATATACATGTAGAAACCCTTCTTGTTGCCCTTGATTTCCTTTGCCAGACTCAATTCCAAGTGGGCCTTGGCCTTCCTCGTAGCATCCCTGCATATTCTGATGATGTTGCTATAGTCCTCCCATGTGGCCTGTCCCTTTTTCTACATCCCATAAATTTCTTTCTTGTGTTTGAGATTTACTAGGAGCTCCCTGCTCATCCATGCAGGTCTCCTGCCCCCTTTGCCTGATTTCTTCATCATGGGGATACACTAGTCTTGAGCTTAGAGGAAGTGGTACTTAAATATTGACCAGCTCTCTTGGACGATAAATCTGGAGATAAGAGAAGTTTTCAGGTTTCCAGGAAGGAAGCCTACAAACACCCCTTCATGCTCCCTGACAGCTGGCAGTGATGTGCGGCACACCAACCCCAGATGGGTACGGTTGTGCCAAGCACAGGGTGAAGAGAGGGAAGAGGATAATGGGGACAGGATGACAGCACTTTTCTCCATATGGGAGGTTTTCTGTCTTGGTTTAATGACAGTATATTCGGGAGTTGAGACCTCTAATGAGTTGAACTCTCCTTTTTTATTTCCCTCCCCCCAGTATAGAGAAGGAAAAAATTACGAGGAGTCTGAATGAAGAAGGAAAAATAAGAATTTTACTAATATGGGAAAGAAACAAAAAAACCCGACAATAGCAGAAAATATTACCTAGCTACCCCCTCTCCCCTAGGTTAAAACAAAACCTGGAAGGATATTTCATCTGGAAAAAGCCTTATGCTGCTGAGGTGCTGGTGTTGGTTTCGGCTTAGCAACCATGTGGGTATGTGGGTGGTGGGGCCGGGGCTGACCCAATGCAGTGCCAGGGGCCCATCGGGGCCAAGTGGGCTCAGGTTGCAGGACAGCAGCCCTTTGTGTGGGCTTCAGCTGAGATGGTAGCAACTCTGGGAAGGGGAAATCTCGAGTTACTGCTGGGTCGGCTCCCGGGCTATTGCAAAATAGCTGCTGCTGCAGCAGCGGCTCAGGAGAGGGGAATCCTGAGCTGGAGAGGGGAATCCTGAGCTGGCGTGGTGGCAACTCCCGGGCTATTGCGAAATAGCTTCAAAAGTCCTCTGAAGACAACACTATGGTGGTTCCCCTGAGTCTGAGCTCGGTCAGACAGAGAAGGAATGGCTAAGCGCTCTGGCAAAGACTCTTGAGTGCTGCAATGAGCAAAAACCAGGTACAGAGAGAGCAGTTTTGGCCCGCACCCGCCTTTTATCTCCTGTCTCTCAGGTTCCTGGGATGCTCCACTCCAGGGACCCTCTTTTCTGGCAGGTCTCAAGACCCCTGGGGACAGTCTTCCCCCAATCCAGCTCGGACGGGGGCAGTCCCCACACTCTGAAATTACGTGGTGGTATGAAATATTCATCACTGAAAAATCCTTCCCATTTAACTAAAACTACAACATCCTCTGAGATGCTTGGCTCAGGGTGGCCAAGTCCTTCTTCTTCTCCTATGAGGGGAACAGATGAGGGGAGGAAAACAATGCTCTCTCCTCAGTTGCCTAATGGAAGAACAAAGGGACAATGATCCCTTCCAGAAGTGTCTTTTGAGGAACGGACGATTGAGTCCAAAGGCCCAGTATTTCTGGCTAACTGCTGCATGCTGGCACACACACCCCCACTGCGATGAACCGTCGTCATGCCAGGACCCATACCAGTGTCTCAGCAGCATAACTCTTTCTGGATGAAATTGTTTGGCAGGGTTTTTTTTTGCTTTGTCCCTTTGTTCCTGGGGAGTCACATGGGTGGTGGACTCCCTTTTAGTGGGTTTCTTTCCTCTGTTTTGTTGTGTTTTATTTCAAGTTTTGTCTCATTAAAATTGTGATTTTAATGTCTTAACCTCTCAGGTTTGGTTTTTTTTTGCCCTCCACTATCGAAAGGGGGTGGCCTTAGTAATCTCAACTTGCCCTGCTGAGTGTTTTTAAAACCAGCACATGGGGCTACAGCGTTGGTGGATAGGGAAAGAGCAATTGACATCATCTACCTGGATTTGTGCAAAGAGTTTGACACTGTCCTGCACGACATCCTTTTCTCTAAATTGGAGAGACACAGATTTGATGGATGAATCACTCTGTGGATAAAGAAATTACTGGATGGCTGCACATACAGTGTTGCAGTCAACAACTCATTGTCCACATGGAGACCAGTGACAAGTGGTGTCCCTCAGGGGTCAGTACTGGAGTTGATATTGTTCAACATCTTTGTTGGCAACAAGGACAGTGGGATTGAGGGCACCCTCAGCAAGTTCACTGACGACACCAAGCTGTGTGGTGCAGTCGACACACTGGAGGGAAGGAAGCCATCCAGAGGGACCCTGACAGGCTTGAGAGGTAGGTGTAGGAGACCGGAGAAATGATTACTGGCTCCAAACAAATAAGTAGAAAGTGTGTGTGGGGGGGGGAGGGCAGGGCAAGTTCTGCATAGTGCACTGCTCCACACCCTGGCCCCCTGGAGCCATTGGTCTGGTCCTGAAATGGCTGCCAAGCTACATGGACCCCCAGGGAACATTAAAGCGCAGGCACGTGCCTGGGAGAGGGTCCTGGGAGGACAGAGCAGATAAAAAGCAGTGGCATGGATGTGACCCTTGGATTTTACAAGCAGCTGAGACCACTCTGAATCTGAGGTGGTGACTATATATATCTTTCTCTCTCCTTTTCCTTTCTCTCTCTCTCTTCCTTCTTCTAACTTTCTCTTTTTGAACTCTGGATAGCTTAAAGTTGGATGGGTTAGAGTTTGCTAAGCTAATGCTTTGTGAAGTGCCTTACTGGATGTTGTTTTAAAATTTGCAAAGTACCTTATTCTACCATAATGTTCTAAAGTTTGCAAGTAAAAGTTTGTTATTCAACCTCCTAAGAATTTTGTTTTTTCTCATGTTGTATTCGTGCTTAAGTAGATGCTACTACCTTTGGTCTGTGTTTGGCCCAGCCACCTGTGAGAGTCTGCTCTTTTCCTGCCAAGTTCTGAGAAAACAAGCACTGATAAACAAGAACTTCATCCTTGAAGGAAGCATCTTGTATAAACTGAAATTAATTGGTGACTGGCTATTGGCCGATGGCCCTCCAAGGGCATTTGAAGGAGAAAGTGAAGAGGAGGAGGATGAAGTAAGCCCCCAGACTCATTTAGGGAAGACCCCCGAGGTGTAGTATGCAGGTGCAGGGAAATTCCAATGTACACACGCATGTGCAGAAGGAGCACCACTTACATAACGGGGGGAGACACCGAAGGCCTCTAGATGGCCACACCTGCCCAGGTAGATGTCACAGGCTAATTGTATAAAAAGCAGATAGCTTGTGCTGGGAGCCAACTCAAGCTTCACATGAAGGACAACGTTGCCTTTTGTGGGGACGCCCGCTATCTTGTGAGCCTGCCGACGCTCCGGGGATGCAGCTTCTGCTATGGGGAATTCTAAGCATTCTGGGGTTGGTAAGACAGCCTCATGAGTAACACCTGAGCGAGTGGGGGGTTGTGCTGAGGGCTTATTTCCCTCCTCTTTCTCTCAGTTTCTCATCTTGTTGGTCACTTCTTTGTAATAAATATTGTTTTGTTGAGCTTTCAACGGTGTACTGATTTCAGTTTCAGCATTTGTCCCTGCTACACCCGTGCACCGCCACAGTGATTCTAAGTACCTTTCCCTTTTAAACTCCCTGAGTGAGCTTGGGACTTAACATTTTTTGGTGCAGTGAGCAGGGTTAACTCTGTGTGGTGGTTTGAAAAACCTTTTCTTTGGGGTAGCAATGGTTTGCCCCACTGATAATACTGGACCAATCAAAGGTTCATATGCGCCCTACAGAAATTACCTACCCACAGAAACGGAAGAGAAGGTGGTGAAGATAGTTTAGAAGGTAGGTAGCCATGATTTGAGACAGGAGGAAGCAGGGGGCCAGTGAGCCCCTCTGGGGGCCAAGGGCCCCC